GAGACCCCACAGAGACTTGCAACCAGGGAGCAATGGGCAGTGGCAGCTTGTCCTGGGCTAACCCTCTGTCCCTGTCCCCAAGGCCCCTTTTTTCACTGACATCTTAGTAAGCCGAAGCAGCCCAGCCTAGCCTCATTTCCCCTCCTAGTCCCTCTCCTGTTGTTTCTTCTATCCTAGGCCCTTCCTTGTTTCATTTTTCCCAGCTTTAATAAATTTTCTCTAAAAATAAAAAAATGTGCTGGCAAGGGGGCCTGACTTAAGAGGAGGAAATTTGTGCAGAAAGAAACCAGCTCTAAGACCTTCACCAGCATTAGTCTCCAAAGCTACAGCCATCCAGGATTCAAACACAGCCCTCTGTTCACCTGAACCCGCTCCGCTAATGAGCTCGTGGGTGAAGAGAAGGGTCTGTCCCCATGACCAGCCACCAGCAGATGCCCCTGTTGGCCCCCTGGTCTCATGTGTTCTCTCCAGGTGCCCATTCCCTGTGCTGGATCCCAGGGTTCTTGTGGGGCCACTGTCCTGGGGCTGGTGGTTTCCTCTAAGCCTGGATGTGGCGGTCTCACCCCCTCTCCTCCTGCAGTTAGCAGCGGCTCGGTAACAGTGAACGCTGACTCATCAGTTCAGTTACTGGCTGAAGAGGCTGTGTCGCTGGACATGCTGGATTTGGGGGTAAGTGTCCCAGCAGAAACTGAGGCACGAGCTAAGGGCTTCTGGCTTTGGGGGTGAAAGGGCAGGTGCCAGGACAGGGACCCTGTTTGGACCTCACTAACCACCACCTACTGTAGGCGGCCAAGGCAAACTTGGAGAAGGCACAATCGGAGCTGTCAGGGGCATCCGACGAGGCCATGAGGGCTGAGATCCAAATCCGAATTGAGGCCAACGAAGCCCTGGTGAAGGCTCTGGAGTAGGCGGTGCGTGCTCCTCGCCGGTGTCAGCGGGGAAACCAAGGCCCAGAGTGGGACAGGGGCTGGAACCAGCTCTCATGGGTCCAGTATGAGGGTGGGGGCAACCCCTCTGGGAGGTAGCCATCCTTGCCAGTGAGGCCACCAGGGGGCAGCAAATTGCTAGCTTCTCCCAGTGCATACCCCCTGGGCCCAGGGCTGGTGGCAAGGGTGAGCTCAGAGACCCTGCTCTGCTCTTGGGGGGACTGTCACCTAGGGGATTTGCCTCCCACCTCCAAAGACCCCACCAACCTGACCTGCTGCCCTCCACCCTCATGCTGTAGAGACCTCTCCTCCCTCCTGCCTTCTCTGGACTGCTTATCCCCAGTGTGCACCCCATTAAAGACCAGGGACCCCAGTTGTGTGTGCTGATTTTGTCTCCTGCCTAGGGCAATGGGCTTGGGATACCATACCTCTGTAGGGAGGGCCTCGGCTTCAAGGATTTGGGGATTGTGGCCTAAAAGGTCCTTGGGAGCCTCTGAGGGGTGGGGAGAACACAGTTAGTGACACCAGGCTAGGTGACGGGCAGGGTTCTGGGGACAGCATGGGTGGAGGGGTGGCTGTGGTTCTTTGGTCAGGACTGGGCCGCTAGTCGAGACACCTAGGGTCCAGTCAGGTTCCAGGTTGGATTTCCACTCTGGGCTTCCTGGCCCTACTCCCAGGGAGGCCCCGCCTTGTACTGGACCGGCCTGTGGGTGGCCCTGGCTGGATGACTGCCTGACTTCTGTTGGTGTTGGCATCTCTGTGGCACCCCAGGCCCTGGGACAGCCCCAGATGGGGTGGGGTGTCTCGACAGGAGCAGCCCTGGCAGCACACAGCTTCACGGAGCTCTTCCATCTCCTCCATTGTGTAACCCTGGGGATGACCCAGACTTGGGTTCCAGGTGGTAGGCAGAGGACTTCAAGGCAGGGGTCTTCTTGCCCCACCCCCGTCAGCCGAGCCCAAGCTGGGCTTGCAGGGTATTCCAGGATGGTGAGTGCTGGGGAGAGCCTGGGCCTCCCTCTGTGTCACAGGGAGGCCACCCTGGGGCATGTCATCAGTATGGATGGGCTGTGCACTCGTGTGTCACAGTCCTCTGCAAGTGACTGTCACATGGCTGTGTTCAAGGCTTGACATGGTGAGAGACCCATGTGTGGGGGGCCTCCAGGTGATCTGCGCTGTGTGTGTGTGTACGTATGTGCGTGTGCGCCCCCACATGTTTGGGTCTCCTTTCTCTCAGGCCAGTGAGGCCCAAGGAGCAGTCCCCTGCTTCCCGGGAACTCCCAGCCTAGAGAAGGCTGTGATAGCGGCGCACCACTCTTCCTTGTCTCCAGCTCAGAGACAAGGTCTTCGGAGTTCATGGCCAGGTTGGGCACCATAAATAAAACCAAAGGAGGGAGGTTAACGAGGGAGACCATCTCCAAGATGCTGCCGGCACCCCCTCTCTGCTTATGTCCTGAGAGACTTCAGCCTCCAGCTGGGGGACAGCAGGATGCAACTGGGACACCATAGTACATTCCCCATGGGAGACATGAGACTTGGGGACACACCCTGCCTGAAACGGGCCCCGAGGGAACAGCTGGTGCTGGCAGGGTCAAGACCTGGGGCAGAAGGGTTTCAGGGTGGGGCAGGTCATAGGGACAGAAACCAGGGATCCAGACAGGCGGGCTTGGGACCTGAGGGGGCAGGAAAGGGGTCCCCTGGTACAACTGTGCTTATATCCTGGGACAATTACTGAAGTATAGGGATGCTCTAAATGGGAAGGAATCAGAAGCCAGTTGATTAGCATGTTTATTAAGTTAGACCTGCAGAGCAAGGTCAGGGCCTCCACACACACACACCGCCCCCCATCAGGAGCAAACCTTCATCCGCCAGTGTGGTTTCAGCAAGGTCAGGGACCAGCCTGAGATCACAAAGTTCTGCCTACCCCAGTAGCAACATCCCCACCCCTTCGGGGTCCCACCTAGGCTGTTCTGTTTCTTCTGCCAACTCCAAGCTGGAAGCAGAGCCCCTACACTGGGCCCCTCTGCCTGTGTCCACAACCTGTAGCCACTTAAGTCTCCAGACCTTTGCAGTAGCTGTTTCCATTTCCTGGAGAACATGCCGTGTTTGTGGCAAACCGCTATCCATCCCTCCACACCAGCCCCAGTAACTCCTTCCAGCCAAGTCCTGACTGACCTTGTCGGGCTAGGAGTGCCTGGAGTGGGAGTGGGGCAAAGGCCATAGGAGCATTGGGTGAGAGTCGGAAGGAACAGCCCTGGGAGGGATGCTGAGGGTAGAGGTGGGGATGGTCATCCCAGATGAAGAAGCCAGAAAAGTGGATAGGGGTTGGGTGAGTATAACTTGGGGTCCCTGTCTAGGCAGAAGGGTCAGGAGGACCAATAGGGCCCCACCACCAATCAGGGTCATCCTCAGAAAGCCACCAAAATGACATGCCATGCTCCTGCCTGTGTGGTCTATTTCCTAGTATGTGAAATGGGTAGGGGGGTTATGCCCAGCCCAAAGGATGGGCAGCAGCCTGTGAACTTGCATTATTGAATGATGACAACATCACTGGGTCTGAGTGAGGGACCCATACCTCAGGCCCCAGGGTGAGTCCTGCAGGATATTCATTCCACCCCATGGCCACCTAGGAAATAGGCTCCAGGGGCCAAAACCCTCCCGAGGTCACAGGACGTGTGATGACTGGCTGCACAAGGCAGTCCTGGTGCTGGTTAATCGCTCCATAAATGCCCGCTGAGGTCACTATTAAGGGATGCGCTGCCGCGGCACCCCCACTCCAGGCAGGTGACTTGGGCCTGTTTTCCTGGACTGTGCTGCTGACTCAGGCTCCCCTTCCCACGCCCCGCCTTCCGCCTTGCAGGCACCCCCAGGCGGAAGCACAGGGCTTGGAGCGGCAGAAAAATGTCAGGGAGTCCGGCTGTGCACCCAGAAACCCAATACCCGTGGCCCAAGTAGGGGTGCGACCGAATCTTCGACTAGGACAACCGTGACCTCGGGTTCGGTGGCATTCCATGAGCGCAGTCATTGACGGCCAAGTGGCCCGGGCCGGGCGGCACTCCTGGGCTCTGGCCCACTGGGAGGGGCGGGGATGGCCTGCGTCACTGCCCGCCCGGCTCCCTCCCACCACCCCTGCCCGCCCAAACTCCACCCAGGGAAGGCGGCGCGGATAAAGGTTCAGGGCCGCCGGTGCGGCCCCATACCTACCCCGCCACGGCACACTGGTTCTCGACCCAGCTACATTAAAGGACTGTGGTGACCTCCGACTGGCCGCGCCCGGTGAGTTGTGGGCGGGATCTCGCGGGCCAAGGAGGGGTTCCCTGCTCTAGGCTTTTAAGGTGCCCCACTTTTCTTTGTTCTTGGGACAGGCAGGGTTTGTGATACCTCCAGTCCTGGGAAGCACCCCTTCCCCCACGGGACGTGGAATGGGTGGAGCTGGGCACAGCCAGCACCCCCTTCACAGGACCTGGGCCCGCCCCCCCCCCCCGCCCCTCCCCCTCC